GATAAATTGTCTCTAGAAACCAATCCAAATCATATCTCGGGTTTCTGAACCCAGAAGTGTTGACAACGAAGAGGTTCAGGCTCACGCTGTTTCCGAGGCAATCTTCTTCGATTCCGGTTAAAAGGTGCTAAGCTTTCGTCCGTCACATGACGGACATCATCAGAGCGAGGTAACATCGTCACAATAAAATTCAAGCTAACAAGTCAGGAAAATTTACCGGCAAATCCCTAAAAAGTGGTATATATACTCTAAATCTGACCTCTGTGGTCAAGTATAGAGTGATTTGGTTAGTTAAGGTCATATATCAACTTCGATGGATGTGAGTGTGTCTGTCTCTGTATTTGTATGTGCCTGTTTGTAGGGATTAAACCGGTGAGTTTTCTTGACTCGTTAGCTTGAATTTGGTTGTGACGATGTTACCTCGCTCTGATGATGTACGTCATGTAACGGACGAAAGCTTAGCACCTTTTCACCGGAATCCAAGGAGATTGCCTCGGAAACAGCGTCGCCATAAATGTTCTAGTAAAGCCAATCGACAGCTGGTCAAGAGGAATCCGCCGTCGTCTTCTGGTGAAACCGACCTTCGAATCTCTTCACCCAACACTTTAACTCGAAATAAAAAAGTAAGCTCAACAATTAGGAAACAAGATATTCCTAAAAACCCAACTTTTCTTCTAATGAGTTCAAGCTAAACCATTTTGGAGCAAGATCCAAAACTTACGTGGCTGTGTAGAGCCGATTTGATATGTTGCTGGAACGATTTCGAGTCCTGCTTTTCATGATGACGACACCATGACAGGGTCGAAATTTCCATCCAGCTTGAGTGGGAAACTTAAGTGCAATTTTGATTACCTCAAGAGGCATATTCATTTCATTATATCAATATTCAACTATCCGCCTTTAAATCACCCACAACTGCTTCCAGCCTGACAAGGTTCGGAAACTTGCACAGTTTATGTCACTAATTATTTGCCTTCTGCCTAAGGCCTATAGTAACAGGCCTGATCCCACCTTCAGAAGATACTGATTACCCGATGCTTTTACCAGTTTGGCAACCAAACTGCAGTCTGTGCGACCTTCCACTAATTTCACTTGAAATCTCTCGAAAGTTTCCTTCTGCCCCGAATCCAGGCAGTCGTTTTATTCTTATCAGATTCCGTCAGACCTCTGAGCGCTGAGAATTGCTTCCTCATTCCGATCCTGGTCTTCAAGGGTTCCTGCCATGCCAAAGCGGAGCTCTTTCGCAACTTTCCATATCCACCAGTTGCAGTCGAACCACTCAGCTTCAGGATGGGCAAGAAACAATCAAAGTACCAAGCAACTGCTTTGGCAACATTTTTCTCACAGAGTCCTGGCCGATTCGGAGGTAGAAGAGGCAGAAAGACACACAGGGAGCTGAGTTTGAAGCGATGATTTTTAAGTAAAATATCTGCTATGCAATTAACATGTCCTTCTTCAAACGTTACTTTTTGACAGGCTTCTGCATGCCAGGAATGGGACAAAGGAAGTGAGTGAAATAAACAATGGGAGCGAAGGGGTGGATTTGGCCCGAGGGAGGGAGAAAAGTTAACTCTCCTCTCAACGATTGGCCTTTTGCCTCATCTCCCTCGACGCATCTGCTGCCTGCACGTTGGAGAAATGAAAATTCCACATGAATCCCTGGAATCGATAGAGATATTAACCCCTTGTCTGTCGTGAGCTCGTTAACCCTGTCTTTGGTTTGCCACATTTCTCCCTCCCTCGATTCACCATTTCATACCCTTTTCTAATTAGCAGCAATCAAGAAACAAGCCTGTACCGAGATACAAGCTAAAATTGAAAAGAATTGATGAGAGGAACAATGGGCAGATGCACCCAAGGCTTATGAAAAAGTGGCTGTTGCTTAGAAAGTACAATTCCCCGAGTCTTCAGCTCGGAATACTTTTCTGTGGCACATAAAACGCTGTATTCCTGCTGAACTAATGTGCACTGGAAAAGATTGAAACGCATAGTTTAGGCCTGAACTGTACCACTAGACTCACTTTTCAATGCTTGAAATTGGGAAATGGTTGCGCAGATGCCACTGTAAAAGACAAGCTTCGTCGACACATACGTTAGAATTCACTTCAGCCTAAATGTTATTATTCTGACAAATAAAGAAAACAACTGGGGCAGATCTGTAAAACACACGGAGTTTACGAGCATACAGTATTTAGATACGAGCAAAGGATAGTGCATTCATAGTGAAGTGTTGAATGGGTCATCATCCCCTTTGAATGATTAAGATGAAAGGCTTTATTGTTGAAATATTATGGTACCTTGCGTCGCATTCGTATAGACTTGAGGAAGGGATGTATGAAAAGGCTTCATGAGAACCAGAAGGGTTTTGCCTAGGAGTTGTGATGGCGAAATTGTGTGAAGTATTTCTTTTTGCACCGTCCCGCTATCGCCTTTCATAGGACAGACATTTTCGGCTAATAAAAGCTGGAATTATGGAATTTCATTCATTCTAATATAGCATAATCCGCTTTGTAAAATGAAAGAAAATACATAACAACATGAAATGATTCATTATAACCCAGCTCTACTTCATATCAAGTCGCCGATATATGTTATGCTATCATTTGATGTCAAGTTAATTTTGTTGTCAGGGCGACCTCCAGCGGTGGACGGATGATTGGATGAGCTTCCAGATTACGCCCCAGTGAGCACCGTCATGTGCATCATCTACCTGCACTTCGACATTGCAACATGCCAAGTGTCTGAAAAGTTATCCAGCCAATGTTGTGCGGCTCAAGAGGCTATGTTAACAAGCATAGTAAAAGCAGTATGAAACATTTTTGTGTGGATATTTTTGAAACAAAAGCTCAGTTGCTTAAATTGGTTCGGGCAGATTGTGGCCAACCCAAAGGCCATACCAGCTTGGCCTTAAAAAGTATGGGTCTGTTATTTCAATTAGTTGTAATAAAATAATAGAAATGCCCCCAATTAACCATTAAAATGAATTTAAATCTGTCTTCTTGACAGGGCTTTGTCATCTACAATTAGAAGTGCTAGTCTCTTAAGCAACTTAGATCGAAAATTCATTTTCTATGATCGTCTTAGTCTCGTCTGCAGCCCAAAGGATTACGAGACCTGCTCGACCGCGTGAGGCAGAAACCGATTACCAATCGGCCAAACTGCTCGAATAACTTTTTATTCTCACAAGTGAATTTTAAAGACTATGAGTAGATCTGATATAATAGCTATGTTCGCCCTATTTCGCTTA